ATCTTCGTCTCAAAGAAGTTAGAGAATCTGTATTATTGGGCAACAGTTTGGTGGCCCGTTAGAGTCAATGAACGAAGTCGCGTCCGGTTTAGCCTTCGGCCCATTTAGTTGTCTCGCACTTGCCGAATACTAATTAGCATCTCATTCGGTATTAATAACCGCGCTCACCTGATAGTTATGCGATCTGCATCCTTGCCCTCCCTAACCTGGTTTTCTACAAACACAAAACTCTTCATATGTGTGTATTTTACGGTTAGTAAATAAAGACTTGCTATTATTTGAATTAGATACTTTATTTCAGAAATGCCATTAATTGCATCGATGGGAGCAATTAGCTTACGTCGCACATAAATTTCATTATATCTTTTGACAGATTTAGTGAAAATTGTGAAAGTTTGAATTTTAAGCTTTATAGATGCGTACATTTTTTTAAAATGTTTTTTGCTATGATTTGAAGGCTTATCTCTTAATACATTTCCCACAGTGGATACTGCTTTTACATCTGCTGCGGATTATTTTCATAATGAACAGTTTTTTTGTTAATGTAGGGAAAGTTTATGGTGATACAGTTTTCGTTTAATCTAAGATCACTGTGACTTAATATCCTAAATTTTTATAGCATATGACGTTGTTGGTTTTCACCCATCAAAAGAACTTTCCCTGTTATGAATCAGTAGTTTAACTATCGATTAGCAATTTTTTTTAAGTGAAATTTGTTATTAAATTACTCTCGACATGGTTTCTGTGTAGGTGTCTGCCACAACGGAACTACTGTACAGGACGTAAAATTTTGGTACTGTATTAGAAAAAAACATGCATTCTGCCAAAAATAATTAGGAACTTTCGAAAAATTATAAAACTTGATTTTGCGAATTTTATTTATTTTTTTATGAGAACCACTATAACTTGAAATAAACATATGTATGTAATGTTAAAGTAAATGTAGAGAAGCGTGCTAAGCGTATGATTCAAGTGAGTTTTTACTTTACAAAATTTTGTGATGACGTCATCAATTTTTTGGGGAGAATAAACAGATATACTTTGGATAAAAATTTACCATGCTCCCAATAACTTTAAAACGTCTGCAAGATGTCAAAACATTCGGTTTTGCAGTGGATGGACTCGATTACAATACTTCCTTAGCTTACGCTCAGGAAGTAAAAAGCAATTAATTTTGTTTTACATCGTATTGAACATCAATTTTTAGAATTGGTAGAAACATAAATAAACACAGACTCCAAAGCGTACTGCTTTTATCATTATCGCCAATATCGCATAAGGACGATTCTTGAAATATCCTCATGTATCAACGTCAGTATGAATGCTGTGAAACTGTTTTAGGACATTTTCTCATAATCTACATGACTATTGTTCCACGACTGAGTCAGTGTGCGTATGATGTGTAAAATATGTCTTTTGCGTTATTTTGTCAAGCCATCTCTATTTCGTGTTAACTTACGAAAATATGACCAAAGCAATAATTCTAAACTACATCATAACAAAGTGTTCTCTCTCTCTCTCTCTTTCTCTTCGTCAGTGTTACAATCGTTTAAATGCACGGTCAAATCATCCCAAAATATTGTCAAAATGTCATGTAAAGTAGACTACTCAAAAAAGAGTTAAACTTTGACTGTTTCAGTAGATATCGCGTTCATCGCATAGATACAGAAAAAAATTAAATTCACTGAACATTTTTAAATGATGGTTATTGGAATGTCTAATGTGACGTAATTGTTAGGAACTAAGGAGTGTGCCGCATCCTACTTTGTATTGTACAGTTACTAAATAGTTGTAATGTTACTTGTTCTTAAAAACAAAAACAAAAAAAAAACTTAATATCAAGGATTTTGAGTAAGTACAAATCATCAGCTATTAATTTATGATGGTAAGAAAATAGGTATTTTAATGTCTTTATCCATGAGCATGTTTCATTCTTTTGTTTTGTTTATGGTAATAGTTCAATGATTATTGAACTTTCCATAAGCGGTTGATATTAGGAATGTATAAAATATTTTTGTATTTCTCCATCATGTAACAGATTTTAACAAATTTTAGAAATTTCCTAAATGAATTGCACGTGATAAAATGTACCACTTCCTTGTATTTTCTCAAAACTATTACGGATAAAATTAAGTAAATTCTCCAATATATTTATTTAATGCGTGGCATGCTGAATTTATTATGTTGAATATTTTTAAAAATTTTCACTAGTTTAATCAATAACATCTTCTGTGAATAGTTTTTTTAATCAATACTGTCATTAACATCTTCGCTGAAAACTTTTTTGTGTAAACATTCGCTTTCCATTATTTCACTGATTTCTTACACTTAACATATTTTTCCCATAATTTTAGACTGATAGATTCTTTTTTAGAGTATGTTTATGTTCACAAATTTAGAGTGAATGAACTGCTTTTATGAAGATGTGTGATTAACTTTCTAAAATAAATTGGAGACTAACTGAATTTAATGCAAATGTTTTTTTTTTTTCGAAAATAGATGCCCAATTTAATTTTCATCGCCATGAATAACATTTTTAATTTCGAATCAATTATTTTGCACTCTTTGAAAATTAAAAATCAAATTGGAAATTCTGGTAACACATAAGAAACATTTTAAACTGAGGTATAAATCTGTTTTTCAATCTTTTGTATAACATAAAAAATGCAACAGAAAACTTAACAGTCAAAATTTATTTTTTACAAAAAAAATTGTGTGGAACCTCTCTGTGTTTAAATTAATCAATTTTGCATGAAAATGTAGCGTTCAAATTTTTTTTGAATATTATTTAATAATAGCTTGTACTAAAACATTTGTAATCGTTTAAAAAAATGTAAGTATTGCCACTTTAGTAGATTATTATTATTATACATGCTTGATTTGAATTTAAACATTAACCTTACTGAGATAATGATATTTTGCGGTTAGTTCACAACATGTGGCTTTTTAAATAAATACATTTATAATTTCATGTCATTCTTTTGTTTTGTTGTAAGCTACGAAGAAACATAATTTGCTAAATGTGACTAGACTAATTTATTTATTGGACATGATTGCCGAATTATTCATACTACACGTTGTCCTATGGCATTCTGCAAGTATTGGTTATTGTTATTACTCTTAATGTCATCGAGCTATTTTAATGTCGAAATGTTATTTTAATTGTTTGGTGAACTCTCTAGTTTTATTTATTTCTTTGAATTTTAAATCTTAATTGTATTTTTGGCGTCTTAAGCATTTCTGGAAAAAGTACATTTTGAAAAAATAATTATTTAAAGTCTGCAGTGGCAGTAAACTCATGAACAATGTCGTTTGATTTCCATTTATTGTTTCCTTACATCCTCTAAATTTCTGAAGAATCTTTCAGTTTTTGCAGAAATTTGAATAGAATATTTTTTCACTTATTGGTATACGTAGAATTTTTTGGGGATTCACAGCAAGTTATTTTTTTATTATTATTGTTGTTTATTCTGCATTGTTTACATTATATCGTTAACCACAATGGGTGTGGATTATTTAAACCTAAATAGAAGGTAAAAGTTTTCCTTAATGGTGATTGTAAGTTCGTTCTTTTTTTTCTATATTTTCCTCGATAAGATAGTGGTTTTTAAGGTAATTTAAAAGCACAATATTTTTTTTAAGGAAAGTTGAGTACTTAGTAATGGTTGCTCACTATCGTAGTTCGATTTTTTTGAAGTATCATTAAATTTACTCGTATTTTAGTATGAGAGAATAGAAAATATATACATTTATGTATTGTTTTCAATTGTTCTTTATCGTATTTTTTTGCTGGTGGAAGTTAACTACCAATCGAACTAAAGTCCACAAATTTACTTAATAAAAATTCTTGATTTTTTGTGAATAATACATTTTTATTAAAAACATCGAAAAATGCATGTTAGTTTTCATAAAAAGTTTGCGATCAAAAAGTCAGTAAACTATTTTACAGTAGATTTATAATTTTTGCTCAAATTCTAATTTTATTTATAAATAAAAATAATAATTAATACATTGTCATTTTTTTTGTTAATTACCTTATTTCGGTAGTATTTTGTTGAAATAATTTCTAAAACTCTGTCCTGAAGGCAGTGATTCATTTTGTTATAAAAGTATGCCAAAAAAGTAGAATATTTAATTCCTAGTGTGCATCTGTCGACTAGAATCAAATACGTCGTGCACAGATATGCATATTTAATTAGGAGTAATAATAATCATAAACATTTGTTCAAAGAGTATTTTGTCTGTACGCAAGTACCTGTTGTTGCATTGTCGGAATAAATTTATTGCGGATAAGATCTTTCACTGTTGAGTATAAATGAAAAGGTCATTTATAATCACACCTTAGACGAACATTGTCGCAAAAGATTAATAGATTCACAAGCAGTTTTCATGTAATACTTATCGGATTTTACAGCGATCATCTTTCAAGGTGAAAAAAGCAAGGGTATATCTCTTGTGTTCGTAATTATGGTTACATCCGCATGCTTTTTAATAAAAAACGTTTAGTCGTGCATGTGAAGATATTAGAAATTACTTTTAAATTTTTGAGTGAATAATATTAGCATAAATTACTGATTCATGTTGCCATTTCATATAATTGCAATTTTTACCGGGTTATTAGCTGATTTTACTAAATATTTATTACAAAAAATTTTAATGTGGTGTTTTAAATTATTTACTGATAAATAATGTCAGTTGAACGGTGGTAGCACATTGATTGTAAACATAAATTCTAACGTAGCGGATACTTTTTTATAGATTTTTTTTTGTTAACCTTTAGAAACTACAGACATGTTTTTATTTTTTTAATTTTTTAGAAAATTCTTGAATCTAATGTGTAATTTTTTCAAGTAGAAATCGTCTCTCATTACAACACTAAAACTTGCAGCTTTATAATTATATTGAACCTGTATGAACGCATTTTAGATGAAATAATACAAATGATGGTATCATGTAATTTTTTAAATCATTTTAAATTTTATAATGAGAATACAACTTACCCTAGCTTAATCCAATTATGTGAAGAAGTCACACATTCCTTGTATTTGTTTGTACCGATAAGGAACTATTAGCAGCTTTAATACAACTTGTAAAACTGCACACGCACGTTAGTCTTCAAAGACCAATGCACTCACACAACATCGACCTACCAGTTCTTGTAGCTAACTGGACGCACAACCATGGAGAAGTCTTGAGTTGGTACATACACCTGCCGAAGGCGTTTTCTGGCGCCCGATAAGTCGATTCTACGCGAAGAATACTAAATAGAAAGCACAACACTATACGATAATTTTAACATTAAAATAATGTATCCACTTATAGTGGATGCGATCGTTTATTTGTTAACTTGGTTCTCATTTATCTCCCTGATAAATTCAAGCGAGACCCTCGGTTCCGCTAGTGTTAATTGCAAACTTGCATATTGTGAGATGCCGTGATGAGTTTTTAATGCTTGGGCTAGCTATTGTGTTATTATGGAAATCTGTTACGTTATGTGGAACTTCTAACAACCCTCAATTACTTGAAATTTAATCGATTAGGAGCAGTTTTATCATGGCATGTTATAGTCGTGGAATCTTCTAAGATTATCTTGGATGCAAAATTATATGCTGTGTGCTGATTCGGTTTTATTTGAACATTGATTTGTTTACCTTTTAATCTAGTTGCTGAAGTCGATGTTGAATGCTTGAAGGATTTTTCTGAAACTATCTACATTTTTACCAGAGTGTTTGTTGTGACAATTCTAATACTCCCAAAAATTCAAATTTTCTAAAAAAAATAAAGCCAATATGTACGTAATGTATCCATATCTACGTAATGTATCCAAATCTATGTGTGCGCTGTCCCTACATATCCCCTACCTATTTAGGAATATACGTTGAGGACGATACATATTTTATCCTAAATTATGTAATAAAAATATGCGATTTTGTGTTGTGTTTGATTTTGCCTTTCAAGCTGTGTAATTCCTAGACTACAGTTGACATCATTACTTTAATATGGCATGACACTGTCAAAAATATGTTTCTGTGAACATTTCTAAATTAAATGCGTAAAGTCTCAGACAAAACTTAGTAACAAAGAAACGTCATTTATATCAACATTAATTCTAGAGATTCTTACATAGTAAGCAGAGGGTAACCTTTAAATTAGGTTGCAGTTTAAGTAACTACGTCTGAATAAACACCATGTACTTAACGGTTATTGTTCTCTTAATATTTTCGTACATAAAACTGAGTTTGTAATGCTATGTTGTTGCGTTTTATATCTAGTGCGTATTTATATGAACGCCGCTAGATATCCATAAATTTCAAGGAACAATGAACCCTTTTTTGTGTCGTATCGTCTCCTGAAGGTTAATCAATCCGACGCGGAGTTCACGTGCACTGGCCATTTACCACCTTACCTTCAAGAATCCGCCCTTTGACGATACGCTGTACTCAGGCCCGTGGGGTTAGCTTCAGTTTAACGTGGTCACAGCTTAGGTTAACCCCATAGTGTCACTTATATGTCCAGTGAATGGTTAAATCCACATTAAATATGTCACTTGTGTCATTTTATTTTGACAAATTAAGTGTAAGCTATTTTCGTGAATTCACTTTTTTAGTGGCGACAAATAAATTGGTGGTGGTGTCAATTCAAACATATAATAATTACAATTTTGATCGTTTGTCTTTTGTTTTTTAACACCTTTCCTTTCATTTTCTTTTTATGTATCCTTAAATTAAAATTTTGAGATCAAAGAAAAAAACGCTTATTACGCGAAATTCTGAAACTTAAAATGTGTGGTGTTCTGTTGCATTTCCCTGAACAGAGTAAATCGCAAGATTTAATTATATGATATAAGCGTGTTTGTATGCACAAAAAACGAACGATTCATTAATCTGTTTATAGTTTGGAGAAGATTCAACAGTGTAGTGAAGAAATTATTACTAAATATACGTGTAGTTTATGAATCCGTGGTGAGTGACTACCAGAGACATCCAGATTTTTAGAAAAAAATTCTAAATTGTATAGTAACATTTTGGAATTTTGAATCTGCAATACTTTGTTGAAATCTTGCAGAGGTTTTAAAGTTATCGTAAGCATGGTTAATTTTTAAGCAAAGTATATTTGCTTGTGCCACCCAAAAAATTGATGACGTCGTCTTAAAATTTTGCTAAATAAATCCTATAAAACATGATGAGACTATACTTGTGATTTATCGTTGCATTCATATTTTTTAGGATTGCTTATAGAGGATGACTCAAAAAAATTAGTGAACGAGTCGAAATATTTTGTTGATTAAATGGGAACGGCTCCCTCCATTTTCCTGAAAATTACTGTTATTATTAGCATTATACTGTACTTGTCCAAACTGATATATGTCCCTTTGCTAAAAAGGTTTATGACGTCATCACAGAAGTTTGTAAAGGAAAAACTCTTTTGAAACATACCCGTAGCATGTTTTTTTACATTTAGTTTACCATTAAATACATATCTTTATATTAATTTATATGGGTTTTCATAAAAAAAAAAATTGGTCTAAAGAGTTTAGACAGTACTTCCCTCGCTGTCGGAAACGTGACCATTGCATGCCTATTATGTTTTTTTTCGCATTAGATTTCAAAGCATTCGGTTTTGTAGTCCTTGATTAAATCAATTAAATAAATTCACCCATTCATTAACTTTTTTGAGTCACCCTGTATATGCAAATCCAAAAAATATGAATGGAATGAGAAATTACAAGAAGAGACTCATCATATTTTGTACATTTTAGATAGGATTATTCGGCAAACTTTTGAGCTGACGTCATCAATTTTTTAGAGGGGTAAACAAATATATTTTGATTAAAAATTTATCATGCTTGTCATAACTGTAAGCCATCTGCAAGATTTCAAAGCATTCGGTTTTGCAGATTCAAAATTAATTGGCAAAATGTTTTTTTGCCACCCTATATAAGCAAATCTAAAAAGTATTAATACAGTGATAAATCACAAGTATAGACTCGTCATATTTTTTGCACATTTAAGAAAGTTTTGAGTCATGAAATTTTTAGGGGGGGGGGGGGTTGAGCAAATACATTTTGATCAAAAATTTACGATGCTTATGATAACTTTAAAACAATACCTTATAATTCCTGATTAAATCGAGATAATAAATTCACGCATTCATTAATTTTTTTGAGTCCCCCTTTATAAGCAAATCCAAAAAATATGAATGGAATGATAAATTACAAGTATAGACACATTATATTTTCGACATTTTAGAGAGGATTTATTTGGCAAAATTTTGAACTGACGTCATCAATTTTTTGGAGGAGATCGATAAGTAAATATATTTTGTTTAAAAATTTATTATGCTTATAACTTTAGAGCATCTGCAAAATTTCAAAGTATTATTAGTAAATATATTTTGTTTAAAAATTTATTATGCTTATAACTTTAGAGCATCTGCAAAATTTCAAAGTATTTCTTTTGCAGATTCAAAATTATTAAATTGCCAAATGTTGTTTTATAATTTTGGTTTTTTTTCCAAAAATCTGGACGTTTCGGGTAAAAACTCAACACGGAGTCATAAACTATATGTGTAGGACTGTGTTATTTTATACAATTTAAAACCCATTTACTATGTACAATTTTGAAGTAACGTTATCACATTATTGGTGGGCATGATTAGACAAATTTTGGTTAGGGTTTTGCCATCTACATGATATTCCTAATACAAATACAAAATTTTGCAACAATCGGCCCAGTACTTTCGGAGATTATCTGTTTAATAAAAATCCGGACGGCTGACAGACGGACAGACGGTCAGGCAGACGGACAACGGTCAGACAGACGGACAGACGGTCAGACAGACGGAAACGGGAGACCTGTTTCTTCGTACTCTAAGGGTCATGAAAGGTCGAGAAAGCGTAAAAGTGGAGAGTCGGCCGACGTAAGCGAAAAAGTAAAATTCGCAAAATCAAATTTTATAATTTTTGGAAAAAGCTGAATATGTTTTATTGTACATTAAGGACGAGGGAAATTCTGTTGAAATAATCTACTACGTCTAATGGTGTCCTACAAATAAATTATGTTGGCACCTAAAATGTCTTTCAGTACTTATTTATAATTTAGATCTAGTTTTGACGTGCTAGAACTTTGTTACTATTTTGTAGACAGCCACCGGAGACGCATCTACTCTCTTATTATATATTATACATTATTATTATTAAACATGTGACCCATCATGACGCAAAAACTGTCTTAAAATAACCGCGCTTCTATAGATTGATTCAAAATGGCTCATTAACTCAACTGTACTTTGTTAAGTTCACAACTCTAAATTCGAGAAAAATTATTAAAATATTCTTTACGTCAATTTGAGGTCAAATTCATTCTGAATAATTTTTAAGTTTTTCGTAATATTATAAAATAAAGAAAATAATGGATAGAAGAGACATGATACTTCCAAAGTTATTTTACATAATGAAAGTATAATCGAGTTCAAGTAAACTTTGAAGGCCTATATATATGTCTTCTACATTTAGGCCCAATGATTTTTTTTATTATTTTTTATTTGCTCAATAAGCACTTCTAACAACATGCCATAGAATTAGTGTGCCATTTCTGAATCACCTGTATACAAAAATATACGTGAAATGGGATTTAGAAACGAACGCACACGAAGCGCTGCATGTTAAGATAATTTTTGTGAATCACACTAATTAATACATTTTTTCGAGTTTAATAAGTAGTTTTTATCGATACTTATACATAGACATTCAGTACAGAAAGATCGGTATAAGAATAACTTCAACTATGATTAAAAGTGACAGTTTTCTCCATCAGTGGCTAAATGACTACATATTTATTTAACTAAAATATACCAAATTGTGTGGTGAAGATGTACTCGGTAAGTCTAAATTTGGGAGTTATTCCAGTCGTTGAGTAGCAACAGTTGTCACCTCACAATAAGGATGGAGATAGTTTCCTATGTTGAATGACGAACATTTGTAGACTTAGCTGTTAGCAACGGAAAGCTAACAGAACCTAAGTGCACATTGTTGTGCACATATTTCAGTTGCATTTCTTGGTTTTGCCCCAGAAGTTTAAGATCACCTAAATCTAAGAACAAATATTTTACCTTTAATCATTTGTAATAAATAACAAATTAATGCCTAAGTTCATGTATGTTGTCTCATGATATATTACGTATACATGGGGAAAATTGAGGAAATTAGTCGTTACCCGATAATATCACCAAATATTGGTTCTGTATTTGAATATGATAAATCCCTCTTTTTTTTTGAAAAATTGAAACAATTTTCGTCGGTTATTGTTTTTTATTGCATTTCATTGGTTTAGATAAATAAATCATTAATATGCTTTCGTTTTTAACACTGTGAAGTATTTTTTTATTTTTAAAATACACTTAAGCATTTTTAAAAATCAATTAAATAATAGGAGTAATAGTTGTTTTCAATTCAATTTAATTTGAAGAAGATGCGATCATATGCCAGAAACGTGGTTTGCTTTTTTATAATGGAACTCAATTTGATGCTTTGGAGAGGTGGCAAAAAGTTGTAACGTTGTATTCAAGTGTAATAAACTGTGGTCGACAGCACAGGAAATGTTACTTTTGTCTCAGTTGTGGAAGCCATCTTTTCCATGCTATTGAATGTGTCATTAAACTTGGTTTCCGTCGCGTGTTGATGTCCAATGATTGAACGTGAGATACTATTCAGACAAAGTATTGATAAAATAAAAACTTTTATATCTAACAATATATACGTACGTAAATGATTATAATAACGGGTATAATTCTGATTTGGATTACACAGATTTGTTTACGTTAACGTAACTTTTATTCTGTATATAGCCATTATATTTTGTTTAGTTCTTAAGTTTATTTCAACGAATAATGCAGTTGATATCATTGTCAATATAAACTGTGAATTTAGAATTTTATGGAATATAGTCCGGGTTTTAGAGACATGTATATCGAAATATTTTAAGATTTTGTTCACACAATGGGTGGTAAACTTTGGGAAATATTGGATATTAATTTTTATTTTCAAATACTAGGTACATATTTTGGCAAAAAATTAGACCATAATATGATGGTAAACTCATATTAATTTTATTTTTTTGCAGGCTTTTGTCGGGTTACCCTGACCTGCGAACCAACCTTCTGCACCAAAAACTGCAAATGTTGAATTGTTGCATAGAACGAAAACAGTCACGCGAGAACAGTGCCGTCAATTTTGAATCAGCCGAAGGTTCGTCAACCGATGAAGAAGAATTTTTTGATTGCGCAGATAAACCCGAAGAAGAATCAAAAAAGAAAGAAAAGTACTCATTATGGAATCAACCTGTAGGCAGATTGGGAAAATTCAACAATTTGAAATTATTACAAACCGGCGACCCATTATACATTCCGATAACTCAAGAACCCGTCCCAAAAAGTGAAGACCAGTTGGAAGAAGACACCGATGTTTTACTCAAATTAGGGTCCGATGCCCAAGGCTCTGAACTAAGGGCTAAAATGATGAGCGCATCTCTACTTTCCGACATGGAATCTTTCAAAGCCGCTAATCCCGGCTCGATTCTAGAAGACTTCATCCGATGGTATTCCCCAAGAGATTGGATTGAATGCGACGAACTTGATGAATGGGGCCAGAAAAAGGGTCAGTTGAGTTCGAGAATGATGATTGAGGACAACTTCTGGGTGCAGACGTGGGAATCGGCGAAGCCGGTACCGTCAAACAGGCAAAAACGGTTATTCGACGACACCCGCGAGGCGGAGAAAGTATTGCATTTTTTGGATTCCAGAAATTTGTGTCAGATTTGCGAACTGTTAATACCCGTCTTATGTCATGTCGCCATCTACAGATTAGCAGACGAATGTCGACAGGTTTCTAGCGAGCTGCCGGATTCCACCGACAGATTGCGTGCCTTAATCAAATCCGCGGAGAGGATTTCTAGAGAAAATAAGCTCCAGGTGCGACGCTTTGAAACTTTCGTGCAAGAGGTGACAGCACTGGAATTAAAAGCGTCGGAAGTGAAGTCGCTGATGTATAAATTTAATCCGGCAGGAACTGTTGATGGGAATTTATCTAATTTAATTGCAAATCTAGTTAACGGACGCGAGGTGGAAATTGCTGATAGAGCCGATTCCAGCCTAGGCACTAGAATTGTTAACATGTTTTCCGATGCTCAAAAAGCGGCTAATATGATTCTTTCTGAGCAAACGGCCGAAGACAGTAAGAGTGCTAAAGGAAATGCGGTGTTTCCTCAGCCAAGCGAGAGGGAAATTGTTATGAGAGTATCTGTGCCCAGACCGGCCACTTATTCAGCAGAGTGTCCGCAGTCTCTACGAGCGATCTTGAACAAGAATGAATTTAGATTGGTCGGAGCTTTTTCCGAAGATATTGTTTTCTTTTGAATGATTAAGTGTAAAATATGTATTACCTAATTATTAAATGATGACAAAAGTATTTTAATGTTTAATTTCTACAAAAATCAAAGAGGTAAAATTGGCAACTGAGCGAGCCATGATCTATCTATTAATTTAAAAATATATGTATACAAAGAGGCAGAATATCGCCCAAAACACTTTTTTTTTAAAAGAGTGTTCATGAGTAAAGAGAATTGTTTACCAATCGTTTTGTCAACTCATGGTTTGATGGTATGAATTCCCGCCGGTTTCTATGGAAACTCAGGTCGATCCAGTAGCTGCGCCGTGCCAACCCCTGGCTCGTTTTCCCAGATGATCTCGTACTCGTCATTCTCATAGATCAGTTTAACTTCGCTCGCTACTCAACTTTAAAATGCTAACGTAATACCTGTCCGGTATCCTTCTAAGACTTTCTATGAACTCGTAGTGTAATGTGAGTGCTCACTTTTTCTTTCTCACTGTCTTCTCTGTTACGTATTATGTGAGTATCCACTGATTTGTGTTCGTTCTTATTTAAATCTTATGTTACTAACAATAATAATAATTCACTACTATTTTTTTATTAGCAAGTTTGCTGTAGTCATGAACTGCACGTTCCGAAAAGTTTTAGCTATCATTAGACATATAATTTTCGTAAATCTCAATTATCAATTAAAAAAACCGAAAGTGATAAGGCCTTGCGTAAAATTTTGAAATGAGGTATACAATTAATTTTGTTTGTGAAATTTTAAAAGGGTTCTTAAAAAAAACATTCTGAATTCATTGAAATAGCTGCGGAATTTGTTGTTATTACATGGAACATTTGGCGTTTGCATTTAAGCAACAACAGCTATAAAAGAATGCTCTTGTTCACATAAATAAGCAATCGGAGAATAACGCTCCTGTGTTCGCAATTGCGCATTTATTTGAGACAAACGAGTTTCTGAAGGAAGAAAGAAAATGAAATATCGGGAATGTTGTAAATATTGGAATGGCGATGTCGTATTATGCGTACTTACGCATGGAAAACGTGGTTATATTATTTTAATTTATGGTAGTTCTATTATTATCATCGTTCGGATTGCTTTAAGAAAGCTATACGGCAGTGTTATAACTGATGTTAAAAATAGTTGACAGAATAAACTTTGATGGTTTATGATGTTTAAATAACAAGATACCGATTGTTTTAAGGAAGGGACCTAATTTCAATTATTAGATCGATTTTTCTAGAAACAATTTTCAGATTTACCGACCGGTTTTCCTACTCATATTTTTACTTTTTTTTAATCATTTTTTTACTTGTCAATATTTCACAGCACTAGGTCAAATTAAACGTGTCTTAGTTATTGAGCAGAGGTAGATTTTATCTTTGGCATGTTATTGAGTTATTGTTTGGACATAACAAACTATATGAACAATTTTAGATAGCTTTTAGATGTTTTAAAAGTGTGTTATTTTTTTGTGTTATGTGCAAAACATGTAATTTTTTCACTTTACCTTATTATAAAGGCAGAACATGTAGAATAACTAACAAAAATTATAAATAGATCATAAGTTTGTCAAGAAAGTTTTAAAACCAACTGTATCATTTGGTATGAGTTTTGTATATTAAAAAATGATATTTTGTACGTTTGTTATTTAAAGTGTTTTCTCTTAAACCAAGATAGATTAAAAATTATTGTAGTACATATCATCTAAATGTTCCACTTTAGGCCGAACTGATCCTTCCAACACCTTATAAAAAATTTAGAAAGGAAAAAACAATGTACTCATATTTGTGTGAACTGTGTGCTTATTGACTCTGGCTGAATGTTTATTCCGATGGTATAAATATGAATTTCTACTTATCGTGAAAACAATAATCTATGGAAGATTAAAACAACTTTGTTCTCTTTACCAAGGTAAATATACATATTACTTTCGTCCGGTTTCCCATACTTTGTTTTTTTTTTTAAGATTCAGAAACGGTAATAAACAATTCCTACTTGATTAAATTTAGCAAATATGCCTAAAGTTGTGACGCTGGATATTTATTTTATTTTTCGTTAGTGACTGCTCTGCTAGAACAGTATTCGTTGTGGTTTTGTAAGTAACTACCCATTTGAAATTATTGAGAACTGGACTTCTCCAAATCAGTTTAAAACAAGCTTGGTCGTTGTTTGTGACAGATCTGAAACGTGCAGGATGTTAGAACTACTTTTGTATTCTCAACAGTTCTTTCGTAATAGTGTGTGAACTCACTACATTTGTATTATCATTTTATTCACTTAATAACTCGATTCCACTACATTTTATTAGTACTTGTTATTTTGCTCTAAAGCTAATAAATTCATCAAATCAAATTTTATTAATTAGGTACATATCCTATATTTTGAGCAGATACAGTCTTTGTGTTTAGAGTATCTCGTATTTTAAACTATTGCAAATATATTACAAAAAAAAGAAATCTAAGAAACTGCCAAAATGCAATAAGATCCATCATCCATATAATTGTATTAATAAAAAAATGTTCTCGTGATTTGTACAAAGAAATTTTCTTTAAAATATTCCACCATCTGATTTCATTGCACTGAACATTTTTGTAAGGATTACAAAAGTACATTGTAGGATATGGGTATAAAATATGAACTAGATTCAATTAAAAATGGCAAATAAGTTTTCACTTTCTTTCTACTTTTATTACTCACGTATTTTAAAATTGTTTAAAGATTTCAGTTGCATTTAAACAATTGGATGAAGCTGTAAATGTAATGCTGTTGCTTATCCTACCTTTTTAGCATTTATTTTAGTGAGTGTGTACAATATTTTGGTTATGTACTAAGTGTGGTCAAGTTTTTCTAGAATACTCGAATACTAGTGTATAATTATACACATAGTATGTCCGTAATGAAAGATTTCACCTGGACACTTGAGTATTTTTTAAATTATGCCAACGTTTAGTTCTAACTTTTTTTCTGTTTTCACATGTTCTGGATTAAAGTTATGTTTTCTATTAATGAGTACATAAAAAATATTCCAAAAAGCAATGATTTGCTTTTTGGAATATTTTTTACAAAAGTTCGACCATTTGTTTTGTCTCGCAGTGTATTTATTTTTACTTAACAATAATAATGCTTCAAATTTTAATGTCTATTAAAATTCACCTCTATAACGATATATTATTTTCATAGTGTAATCACTGATTTATTAACTACTTTTCTCTGTATATTTCCGTCCGTCGCTTTATCTGTACCTACATACCTCTATGCCTATTTCCGTAGATCTTTTTCACACTTTTGACTCGTATCTTTGACGTGGTCGCTATTTTCTTTTTCACTATCTTTTTTTCTACTTAGAATTATTTTCATCATTCTGTCCCTGTCTAATCTCTCTACATGGCTTAACCACATAATTCTCTATGCTCTGGTGTGCTGTTATTTTGAGTACATCTTACTTTCAACTTCCTGGTTTTTTTCTTTTCCTCCATCTATTTCCTGTATTAATTCTTACTTACATACATGGCTCTTAATACTTTCCTCTCCCAGCGTTCTATTCTTTCTTCTTCCGCTTTCTTTAAAACCCACATCTCCTTAGGATGTTACGCTAGATCGTATTACTTTCCTCTAAATTCTTTCTTTGGTTTTTCTTTTTACCCCCTTTTGCTATTCGTGCCTTTGTTCCTTGCTGTTGGTTTTCTTTAGTATGTATTTCTAATTTTTTCTAAAATTCAAGTATACTGACGCATTTTCAAAGGTGTGCAGTCAAATGAAGAACATTCCATTTTTTCAAAAACGAAAAGGTTAGGTGGCCGAAAAATCAGGTGATGTAGATTAGGGTTTTTACAAAAATGTCGTATTTAATTTTTTCAGTTACTAATTGTTTTTATTATTATTATTTTTAACAGTGAGTTATGAAATACAACAACAAAATATGTATTGTTTGATACCTAATTGCTTTGTCTATTTTAATATCACATACTAAAAAGCTAGGACTTCCAGAAAAACATATTGATGGTAATTTATTCTTACCACAATACAGTTTTGGCCTTACAATGTTACGTACACACTATAAAGCTAAAGCCATGCTAACGTTGCAGATTTTAATTTATCAAAAAATGTTTCTTTGTTCTTGACTACGAAGCAATTGATGATTAAGTTTATTAAGTTTATGTTTTTATGTAGTGTGTGCTGCTTGTCAGAGATATTTTGGATAAGTCCGCCTGTTTTGTTCATACCAGTGACGACTCTATGTCCAATCAGCTAAAACAATGCGGAAATTTGTTCTCTAGTAGGAGGTGTTTGCGAAAAATGTTCTTTGGGTATGAAGTTTTTTTGTGGAAGGCTACGAACGTCGTTTTAAAATGATACTAGATTTATGTAAACATTTGTGTTTATTTACGTTTCACATTTCTACTCTTTCAATCGTTCAAGAGTTTGCGAAAAATAACATCTAATAATAACTATCGCTTTACAAATACGCGTAATATTTCGCATTTGATAATCTTAGATACAAATGTGAGCGGAATATGTACACCGATTCAAAAAAATTTCAATAATCATCAATTAGAAATAAAAAATAATACATGTTGATTAAGTATATTGGAAGTAAGTTACGAAACTTAACAGGCATGTGTTGAATAAAAATAACTCAAAATGTTTTAATAAAGACGTGACCTAGATTTACTCGTTGATTAAGTAAAACGCTTAATAAAAGAGCTGGGTTACTATAAAGTTGATCTGACGCATTTTTTTCATCAACATTTTTTTAAGCTAGAACAATGAAACTTTTTTAAAAAATTATAAAACATTGTCAGATATCAGGGTATTTTGATGCAGAAAACAACTGCGTTTAACAAAATTGGATTTAGTGATTTCTCATGCACTTTTTTACTAAACGATACCATTGTGCCATATATTAACTGTTGTTGAAAGATTAGTGTTTAATAATATGTATAGTATTATAAAAAATATTTATACTTTTAAATTTCCAGAAGTTCGTTGGACAACTGACATTAAATTTTGAGAAGTACGCAAGTTGTGGCAAGTAACAGATGCCATATAAAATATTATTTTCAATAATTTCAACATCTAAGTATGTGACGAATCTGGTAAAATGAACTGACAAGAAATGTCAGTACCTCTTTCAACACTTTAGCAAAATTACCAGAAGTGTTAACGTCTTTGATTTTTAATATAAAACAAAAGACCACATTGCATTCAACATTTTGTGCAAAAAACATAATCATTATATAGTTTTATCCGTTTTCTAGTTTCACAAAAGATTTCGTTTCATTCGAAAATAATTTTTTTCGCCAGTCGTCTTAAAAGATGTCACTTTTAACGTCAATTTTGGACGGAAAACTTGACGTTTTTGTGAGAGTAAAAAAAAGTTGCGTTACTAAAGTAACAACGTCATTTTTGCCTTTTTAATCCTAGCATTAATTTTTTTTTTAATCCTAGCCTTAAAAAGTTTTCAATTGTTTTATTTTGAGAATGAAATGCTATTAATATTTTCCAATTTTATTATTAACTTACATTGTTATTAATTATTTAAATTTTAAAATTAATATTGAATGTACAATAAGAACAACTGCGATTGATTTGGATTAAAGATTTTCCGTCACTATTATCATTTTTCATGCGGTCAGTAATAATATTTTGCGCTAACACTTCTACCGCTCCTGCTGTCTGGTTGGTCACAAAATTCAGGTTTACTGCTCCCACATTCCTACTTATTCCGTCTTCACGTGTGATCATTCTATTCGTAGTTCCACTACTTGTACCTGATTCTTCTAGGTTTACTTCGCTCACATTCCTATTCGTTGCGTCTTCATGTATTTTACTTGTGGTTTCACTACTTGTACCTGGTTCTTCCAAACGAAAAATTTTTTTTGCTACATCTTTTTTGTGTTTAAGAGACTCTTCTATGTAACCTTCGGCTACACTGTCAGATTTCCACCCACCGTGCCTCTTGAGGGACGTAATATCACCGCCAGAATCCACAAAAAGCGTGGCAGAAGTCCGACGTAGGCAATGTCCGCTGTATTCTTTAAAGTTTTCTAGCTTTAAATATTTGGCTACTTCTTGGGGTACACCACTAATTTTTGAATGCCAACTACTTGTCGATGGCACATTCCGTCGACATATTTAATAAAAAACCGACCTTCATTAAACATTTTTGGACGAAGCGCAACATACTTTTCGTAAAATTTCAAATACTTTTCCCCCATAACCGTAAATGATCTGGGTTTTTTCGTTTTGGTATCAGGAATTTTTACCAATAAACCTGCTTTAATATTTTCAATATCTTCAGTTTTTATTTGTAATAGTTCGTGACACCGACAAGCTCCGCTAACGCCAAAGATTACAACAATCTGAAAAAAATTCGTAAAATAAATATAAGCTCTTCATTAGGTTATAAACATACTTTCATCATCAGGAATTTGAAATCCGGAGCCGTGTCTAAGAAAACTTCTATTTGTTCATTAGTTAAAACCCTTGATTTCTTTGGAACGTATCCTTCTCCTTGTTTCTTTATAAACGCTTTTAATTTTGAATACTTTCCGATTTCTATGCCATTTTTTATATTTAAAGTTGCTTTCACCATGGAATACTGCGACCACAGTGTGGATGACTTCATTTTTGTAGCCAATTCGGAAAAATATACCAATAGGACGTTCTCAGAATAAGTTTGAATCTTTTTCCCTTCGCACCATTTGATGAAGCGGGTATACGCGCACTCATACACTTCGCGCGATTTTGTTGGTAACAAGTTCAGTACCACGTTTTGTGCTTCTTCTAGCACATCGGGAGGTAACTCTTCTTCAGGATTCATTATTAACACTGCAAACGTTTTCACAAAACAATGGTATGTAAGCAAACAAAAAAAGCCTTGACGACGTGGATACCAGACTACTTTGCAGATTGATTCATTTCTGCTCGATATTATTGTTATCAATATTTTGTATTTTTGAGATTTACTTTTTGGCTGGCGAAAAAGTAGTATGTTTCATTCGGATTAAAAGTCAGTTTTTGACTCGCAATTTTGCATCCGCTCGGCTTCGCTTCGCTCCGCCTCGCAAATGCAAAATTTGCTCGTCGCAAAAAATGGCACTTTTAATCCTAATAAAACAATCTACTATTTATGATGACAAATATACACTGACCGGCAAAAAAACCGGCCACCCTGAAAAATTTCGCAAAACCAACCTTTAAAAATTATTAATTTAACTAGTGATCGTTATTTTATTAAAGAACCATTCACTATTGACACATTATGTATAAATTAGCAAAAAAAGAAGACAAATAAACGCAGAATTTAATTAGAGTAATACAAATAATACTAATGTAGTTACCCACACCTACTTCATGTACAGTGTGGCGTTGTATTATTAAAAATACTACTGCCTGTAGTATATTTCTAGCATTTTTTCACTAAACCAAAAACCAAACACTGTTAAAAACACGAGGACGAGGTATGACTGTAAAGTTGATATGCATTTATAATTTAGGATTGAAAGTTAGTGGGTTCCTCTTATAGTCGTAAAATTTTTACGTTTTCTTATGTTTACATTTACAAGACGTAAGAATGATCTGTACCCAACATAATGTACTATATGTCATATATAGATGTATGTGCATAAATAAGAAAGTGATGTTCCTTACGACAAATACATGTCTGCCCTTTGTCTGTGCTTGTAATAAGCGAGAATGACATACCATTTAGCGATATTAATCAGAAGTGGAATAGCGGCAGCACCGTGAGATCGATACAGCCTGCGGATGTAACGTGCAACACGCTTAAATTATGTAGATGGTCAAAATCATAGTTTATGAAAGTTGATTTAAATATTAAGATTATTAAACCGCATTAGCCTCACACGAAAATTATTTTAGAGCAAATTAGATTAAAACTGCAATTTCCTGCTGGCTGTTCATTATCATTATTCACTGCTACTCGAGATCGATGGCAAGAAATAAATCCTAAACAAAAATTATTCGAGCCTTCGTAAAGGCTTTCCTGTGACAATCCAAGTCTAAAATATTTAACTCGTATTCACTTCTAACGAAAAAACATTTTTTGCCAAGAAGTATATGTTTCCCACAAACAGTTTTTTTGTATATCAGACTCAATGCTGTGACACACAATTAAAGTGAATTATAAATGTATATTTCACACTAGTTGTCGTCACGGTGTTAAAAAGTGAAATAAACAGCGCGCTGTACGTCACCTAATGTTTCAGAACAAAAATCGTCTAGGAATCTTTAAAATTTGATGTTAAAAAAATTACCCATTGGCAACACCAATGGGTTTTTACTTCCAGAGTCTAAGTTGGCATTGGAATAAGGTCCATTCGACGAATGGCTATTTTAACGTGTTCTCGAAGTTTTATTAGGACCCTTAGATTGCAGAAAAGTAGATCTCCCGTTTTTGTCTGTCTATTGTGAAATTTTGTATGTATTGTAGGAATATCGTGTAGATGGTACAACGCTAGCGCCAACCAAAATTTGTCTAATCGTCCCCACTAACACCACGTCCCGTCATAATTGTTGAAATAACTGTTATTTCAATTCTGTGTTGAATTTTTACTCTAGATAGCCACATTTTTGGAAAAAATCACAAATATTTAACCTTACAATTTAACTTTAAAACTGCAAAAAACCAAATTCTCTGATATCTTGTAAACATTCGAACGTTCTCGTAAGTATGGTAAATCATTAATCAAAATTTGTCCATTTATCTCTCTCCTAAAAAAATTGTTGACGCCATCTCAAAATTTTGCGGAGTACATCCTATCTAAAATGTGCAAAATAAAATATTAGTCTGTAGTTGTGATTTATAAATGCATTCACTTTTCGTTCTGTCGGCCTTCACTTCCTGAAGATGCCCCTCACGAAAGTGAGTGAAACGTCGGCACCTTCCTTGAATTTCACGCGGTTCAAACCCGAAAGCAGTATATTCTACGCCAAGGTAGTGAAGACAGTAATTACTCATTACTCATTACATTATAGACCGAACGCAGATTAGAGCCCGAGACGCGAAGCATTCAGGGATTATAAAGTGAGGTCTATAATGGTTTTCACTACCCTGGCGTATATAAAATCGTGGAAATATCCCTGTTCAAAACACTTAGACTGTGACGTTTTTTTAGCGACCAAAATTATGTGCTTTCTTGTATGTTACGGATAAGTTGCTATAGTAACATACTGATTGATGCAAATTGGAGAAGTTCAAAACTAATTGAATAATAAGTATTATAAGTTTTATTTTAATCCAAAACATTTAATGCAACGTGTTTTTTTATCATTAAATCGTTTCATTCTTCAGAATTAAGTAGAGTAGTAAAACGTTAAACAAACCAAAGATTCTGTTTGACAAATAATTCTGACGACATATATTTCAAAATTTGACATAAAATTTCTACGACATACTCAAAATTTGGTAATTTTTTGTATCACACAACGTGCATAAGATAGAAAGAGAAAAAGTTTTACCTGGGGTATTTCCACCACTATACTATTTTCTTTCACTAGTAGCACACTACAAAACACAGATTTGAAAAATTTTCAATTTATGAAAAGTAACTTAACATCACTGACATCACTTAATTAGGTTTTGATGTTTTCCGTCATTATTTTTCGACGTTTGAAAAGTTGGTTTATAATGAGGTTTGTAATTTCGAATTAATTTATATTAACTTTTTTAGGAAATATGTCAGACAGTGAACTATGTATCCCTCCCGAGACGCTGTTATGGCAGTTATCACTTTTACATTCCTCCCCAAAATAATTTCAAAAATCTGAAAATAATGGCCAATTTTCGTTTGTCAAGCATTACATAACCTCAATTTTTATTATAGACCTTGGTAAATAATCGTTCACTTCACTTCATTTCCGTTGTTAACCTTGGTCAAATTTAATTATCATTATTGATTTTGATACAGAAAAACGAATTCACAACTCAAATACAATCATGATAATGGTGCATTTCTACGGTACTAGTGAAAAAACGTCTTTTTAACAATGACTCTGGCCCTGAAAACCGCCGAATTAACTTTAAAAATGTATTGTTCACGTTTTTACAGTGCGTCCGTGTCTATAGTATGTTAATCTATAAATTAGCCTTTGGTTTATAGTTATTTATTGTACATAGTGTTTTAGAAGGCTAATAAAACACGCAAGAAATGTTTAAACACGAAAGCGCAGCTTGAGTGTTTAATTTTTCTTAAGTGTTTTCTGGCTACTAAGACACGAATGCAATCCACACCCATAACCAAAAATTAAAACTCATGGATGTGCGATTTTTTTTCTTTGATATAATCAAATTTGAGAAGACGTCAAAAATTGAAATTTAGTTAAAAAAAAATCTGCGTGCTGTGAAATGGTTGCTATAGCGTTGTTCTGTTTACTGTTTATTTTTTAAAATATGTCAAAAACAAACGTGAATTTAGTGAAACTGTTTTTTTCTTTATAAAAATAGAATAAAACGAGAATCTTCCTTCACGATTACAAGAAGACGCCCAAAAAGCAATTTTCAACTTATACCTGCAAAATTGAAGCTTGCTACGAAAATGGCTGAATTTGATCACTGGAAGGAAAAAGAGCATGCAAGAGTAACAAATCAATTAGTGAAGTGAAGTTGTTGGCATATATTCTGAAAATTAAGAAAAGTTACGCCTGTTGATCGACGTGGACAAAGGCTTCGTCTCGTGATTTAAACATCCCCTGAGGGGAATAAAAAAATAATTTAATCCTGCGGTGCATACACTATTTTTTTTTGAACATCGACGGCATGCGGTCCTATTCTTCATTTCGAAAGGAATTTGACATAAATTGAAAGCAACTGTGAAACACCTGCCGGAACTGGACCTTAGAGACAGATTCGCTCATTTTGATAGCGACGTTGTGTATTTGCAAAAAATTTGCCAATTGAGATTTTTGGGTATGTTGAACTGGACTTGGAAGCAGTTTCAGTTGAAGTGGCGACCAACAATTTGGTTCCAGAAAAATCAAGAAACTTGTATGAAAAAAAAAAAAAAACACAAAGTTTCGCAACTGGAGAAGTAAGAAAACGCCAGAGGCGTCAATGAGGATATAATCCTCGCCTATTTGTCCGAAAAAGCAAAGAATGTCAAACCTTCAAGTTTGTGGAGCTATTATTCAATGTTAAAGGCCGTTATTACATTGAAGGGAAAAAAGTATATTGGCAGGTGTGTACCTACATACTTTTATTTTGATTTGTGATTCAATGTGAAACATTAATATAGGTTCGGAAAAGTTATTGCATTTCTGAAGAAACAGTCATCAGGTTACAGGTTAAAGATTCTTACGGGTGAGAATATCGGTATCTTCTGGAATGAAGCTCCCGACAAGGATTACTTGGTAACAAAGGTGGCTACAGTAATAGGTATCGCAGGAAACCTCCTGCGACACCTATTCGGCAGTTCTACAACCGTAGAACTGCCGAATTAGTTGAAATGTAGATAGGCCATATAGAAGATCGTGGTTCTGTTCTTGTTAACATTCCATATACGAAAACCATAAAGCCTAGAGTATTTACCGTTGTCGATGATGAGAGCAAGAACACACGTTATTTACAATTATACAGTATGTATAAAGACCTAAGACCAAATATGGTGCCACACAATACATTTTTTATTAATTACATACAAGCGTCATAAATGCATTGTACAGGCGGTGGGAAAAAATACGTTCCCTAAATTTCCTAAGGTGATAGCTGAATTCTTACAATTATCAGATTGTGCTCTATACACAGGCCATTGCCGCTCCTCGGCGTCATTTATAGTTGACGGCGGTGGAGACCCACTAATTTTAAAGAATCGCGGTGGATGGAAATCCTCTACTGTTGCGGAGGGCTACATGGAGGAATCATCGACCAAAAAAATACAAGTTTCTAAGAAGATTTTTTCTTGTATTCATGAAACGGAGGCAAATACTAGTAATATTAACCTTCCATAATTGAATGATTTAGAGTGTAACGATCGTATCAATATGGGTCCCTTCCAAAATTGTAACGTTAATATTTACTTATGCAGCAAAAATATGTAATATTAATAGTATGCAATGTACCAAGGAATTAAATACCTGTTGTTTATGAGTTGTTACCTGTG